CCTTAACTAAATAAATAAACTGCCGATTTGATTTAGGAACAGTATAGTAGTTCATTAAATTGTGTAGTTTATTGAGACACCTTTTCGCCAACCTCCTAGAAAAACAAACAACTCTTCCTGAAAGGTTTTCAGAGATTAAAAGTTCTACTGAAAATTTTACGATGGTCTTTAGAAAAATGTCTAGCTAGAAGATTACAAAGACACTCTCTGATTAGAAACCTTAGTAGTTTTAAGAAACTGTTATTCAAATTTAATAACAAACAACGAAATTTAAAAAAATATCCGCATAGTTTGCTCTAGTAACTTAACAAAAAAAGAGTAAGATAGGGGAAGAACAAAATTGAGATATAAATGTGCCAAGGCAATTTTTTCGCCGTCTTCGACAAAACTCAAATTTGAACATTTCACAAAAATCATTTCTGATGCAACTATCAATTAATGATTAATGCGATTTCTACAGGTTTTCAATGCTGAGATTTCGCTGCTGACCTGCTCGGACAAAACGTCGTAATAACGAATGTTCTTATCGCAAACGACTAGATATAACCTATTATATTATAACTCACTTCGACCAAATGTGTCTTACTTCTAACACCTTCTAGTGCACCTTATCTAAATTGACAATTTATAAAAGCGAAAAAATTAAAACGAAAATTACGTATCTACACAAATTTCTAAAAGGAAAAACAAATACTGAAATACAAATTCAAACGAAACGATCACACTGTGTGTTTAATCGTAGATACCTAGACAGTGTGATGAGTGTAGCAAAGGCCACGTTCTTTCTTATCACCTATTTTGTTGAGAGTTGGAGCGTATCTATACAAACAGTTTGGCTCCACACACCTCATAAACATCTTATCTTCTCTAGGTTTTGCATCATCTTACAGATGGCATTATTTTCATAAATTTATAAAAACACGAAATTTTAAATTTTTGTATCTCCTAAAGCTAAACTATAGACGCCAGAGGACCAAATAAAATATCACATGAAAAGTACTTTTGCACTCTACAATTATGAATAAAACATAGTTTCTCCCGACGTTTGTCGCATTGGCAAACTTGATTTTTTCTCTCTCTTCACCATTCAAACAAGTGGGAAAAATAAAGTCTTCTACCGGACCTTTTGCAACCATTTAGCATTTTGATGTCCAATTTAACTGTACTGTACAGACTGATTCAAATTCAAGGGCCACCATGGGGATCTCGGGAACTGTAAGAGATAGGCACTTAGGTAGTTTCGAGGGTAGTTTAAATTTGGTAAAGTTGCGTATTTTGATGCTTGCAGTTCCAGAGATCCCCATTGTGACCCTCGAATTTGAATCAGCCTGTATATGTGGTTTATCTAAGTAATAAGTAAAACGTAAAATGCATTAGTATTCAGTACTAAAAGAAGATATTACATGTACGCATTGTCGTAAGTTTCATAACAGTTCGTTGCATTTAGCAAATTTCCAGCAACGCTGAGATTTCAGCAACTACTATAAACGTAAAACACTACATAATTGGTAGTTACAATGTCTAAAAATTCTTACCGTTACTGTCTACTGCTGAGATAGGAATTAAGGTTTGTAACAATGTTAACAACAAACAAATTAAAGTTAATCCATCCAGAAACTAATGTCAATTCTGGTATTAATGTGAATGCTCTAAAAATAAACAATTCGCTTAAGGTGGCGTTTACATTGAAAAATTGGAAATTTGTTTCCATAATTACTGCCTTTTGAATACAAATTTTTGGTTGAAATAGCATTCATTCTATAATGTTCTGACATTTGCATGAAACAAACATTATTTAGCTAATTCCTGCACTTTCGCCGATATTTAGGAAATAAGTTGTTAAAAAACTCCCATATAAAATATATATCTTTCATGTTTATCACACACTGATAATAATTTGTTATCAAATTTAACTTCACAGGTTTAAACTCTGAGCAACCATCGGTCGTTAACAGAAGTTTATTTTTTGACCTCGAAACAAAGTTAGGGTATATTGCAAGGTATATTGTATCAGATGACCAACAAAATTATTTCAGATGTCAGATAAGGATTACGTACAGCAACAAAAATAAAAACATTATTAGCTTGGACCACAGAAAAGATGAGGGTTTAAATTGCATTAAGCAAGTAGTGTTTTAGACCGTTTTATATACCTACCTTTTAAATGCAAAACCTAGTGCATAGTTTATCATTATATTTCAAGACTTATATGACATGCTTAATTCTAGAAATCTTTCTGCAAAATTTTTTTTTAGAAACAACCATTTTCACTGGAAACAACCAAATTAAGAAATGAGTGATTAGTTCAAAAAGAAAAATAGAATTCGTGGTTACTTGTGTACAGGGTGTTCCATTTTCGACACTTTAATATAAAAAGTTATCGGACCTAACCTCATTTTTTGAAATTAAAAATTTTTTGGTTCAAAAGATTCAAAAAGCTAAAAAAAATTAACTTGAATCTTTTTAGAATGTCCTTGGTGTGTTATATTTTTCAAAGAGTATTTAATATGTTATCTTTGTTGATTAAAATGCACATGGGTGTTCTATTTAAAAAAATAACTTTTTCACCTGACTCCATATTATCTTATTTTGAAAATGGCAGAATAGTAAAAAAGTCGTTATAAAAAAAGTGTCATAATAAACATTTTGGTCATTCTTAAATTAAGACATAAAGAGCACATACAGCATATATTTATTACTTTTTTGACGGCACTAACAATTACGATAGTAAGTACCATATAGAAGTTTCAAAAATAGTACATTCCTGTACAATAAAGTAGGTAAAGGTAGGCAATTTGGGAAATGTCATTAACCTTGATGCAACATTGTAATACACTGGAACGAAAAGCCTACTAATGATATTTCAAACTAAAACTCTTCCCACAAGAAGCTAACCGCAATCTAACCTAACTGCGCATGTTGACGTAACCTAACTGCGCATTTCGACCCAACCTAACCGCTATCTAACCCAACAGCGCATCTCGATCTAACCTAACAGCGCATCACGACCCAACCTAACCGCGGTCTCGACCTAGTGTTGTTCCTCTTGAAAATTTTAATGAAAATTTTCGCTTTTGAAATTTTCAAATGCGAAATATTTCATTGTAACCCAAAACTGAAATTTCAGTGACATATTCATACATTTCAAGTGAAATTTTCATTACGAAATTTCATTTGAAATGTTCTCAAATTTTTATAAATTTCAGTGAAAATTTCATATATTGTCATCAATCATAAATTTCAATGAAAAATTCACATTCTTCCCTCCTTTTCATAAATTTCAAATTTTTTTTATAAATTTCATAAATTTCAAGAAAATTTCAGAATCGGTCAAAACTGAAATATTCCCAACCCTATCTCGACCAACGGCGCATCTCCACTTAACCGCGGTTTCGAACTAACTTAAACGCGGTCTTGATCTAACTTAACATCGGTCTCGACCTAACCTAACCGCAGACACGATAGGATTTTTGGAACGAAGGTAACAGGCCCAAATACTCACCGCAGCGCAGACTTATGCCGCGATATCTCGAGAACGATGTGTCATAGGGAGGGGTTCATGGGTGTCTATGGAAAGGTCTCGACCTAATCTAACCAATGGGAGGGTCGGAATTGAGATAGAAGCCCAGAAAGTGGGAACGGATGCCCCGCGTACTCACACTTCTGAATATCAAATTTGGACGAGATTGGACCATAAGCAACGGAGATATAGCGATTTGAAATTTGACACCTACTGCAAACACTTAAACCGCGATATCTCAAGAACGGTACGTCGTAGATAGGGTTCATGAATGTCTTCGAAAAGGTCTCGACCTAACCTTACGACGGATCCGATCTAATCTAACATCGATAAATGTGGTAAAAAATCGTACTACGCATGCGCAATAGTTAACTTTCTTATTTGTGGACCAATTTGATTGCAATTTTTATGGTAGGTTTCTCTAATAAAAGCGAACACAATAAAAGTGCAAATAATCGTATTGAACCTAAAATAGATTACACCTAAAAAATGAAGACACTCCATTTTCTGTGGAATTTGTGCGAAATAAATCCACGCTAGTGAAGTTTTAAAATGCGGGGCATTTTTATCAACCTATACATATACAATGAGATTGACTAAAATAGAGACTATCCATATACTGGTGCTTTTTTGAGCCGAATCAAATTTATTTTCCAGCGATACTTACAAAACAACCCTAACTACATTCTCACAAGAATCAAGCAAAAAAAATTACACGGCATTTGCTAACAAAACGACGGTAGACGGTAAAGAAACATTTGTAAGAAGCATTTTTCTGTACTTTTCAACTAATAAAATATAGGGTACTTCTGAAATTGACAATTTTTTCATTTCCCACCATATCTTTTAAGCGAGAGAATACTTACTTTCAAATTTTTACTTTACTAAGTATTTTAAGTTTGACCCAAAAAAGGCACATGACGCCTAGGTATATCACTTTTTTTATAGCACTAACAATTACAGAGGTACCCTCGGAGGTACCTTATAAAAGTCTCGCAATGGAATACCATGTACTTACCTTATTTGTTACTTTTTATTCGCTGAAAAATAGTTTATAGCGAGGAAACTTTCGAATTATGGAAGTGAGGTGCATTTCGAAGCTCGTTTCGAAGTTGACACTGTGTGCCTTAAAATTTTATTTCTTGATTAAATGAAAAATTTTGAAATTGATCTACGGGAAGGTCCGAAAGTCTTAGCCTTCGGTCATGATGTTGATACTTTAAACTGAGATTATTTCGAGTAAATAAACGTAACTTTTGCTAATTTCCACCTAGAACTGTAGAACTATATGGTGGAAACAATTTGATTTTGATAACTTCAGGCACTCCAATTTGCGAGCCCACCTTGGAAAGCAATAGTCTATATATTCTACGATACCTCGAGACTTACTATGGATTTTCTGCCTTTCACATGTTTTCACACATCAAATTTATGTCCGTGGTAGATTTCAATACTAATGAATGAAAATTGACAAACTTACGAGTTCCACTTTCAGTTTCGGCCGGAAAACCATTCACAACCTCTCCCATCGCAGATTCAGCCATTTTTGATTGTTTTCGGACACGATTTTTAAAAGTTCTCGGAGCCATTACAAACACATCTTTCTACAAAGAAATGAAAAACATTACCATAAGGATGACTTTAAGATAACATTTAACCAGTGCGATAATTCAAGAATATAAGAGAACATTTTTAGCTTACTTACTATTGCTTTGACCCTGACCTTAAGTTATAAACATAAACCAAGTCAAAGAATAGTGCTGCATAAATTATAGACTTTTATAATGTGTGAAATTAAGAGCACTTTTGTCTGCCTGAGCGGGCAACGTGAGCACTTAAAGGTGCTTGTGATACGAAGAAGCACCACACCAGCACTACTGCACCACATAACCTAAAACTAACCTTTATAGTACACCTTCATTTTAGTCAAAAATTGTAATTGAACAACTAAAAAAAAACGTAGGCGATGAAATGGATTCTTCATGCACTCATGTTTTTACGTTAACACGATCTAAATGGACACATTTACGTACTTTGACCAAAAGTGTTGCGATGGACGTAATAAATTACCGAGTGCGAATGGCTATCTCTCGTAGTACCACTCGTAATTTTACGTCAATTTGGTTTCAAATAATTACATATTCAGGAAGAATATTTACGTGCAAGAAGATGTTTTTACTCATTACTTTTTACGAGATAAGTGGCTTGACCTCAAAAGTTAAAGTAGGTAGCTAGGTATATGGAAATCGGGCGAAAAGCAGAATGGGTAACGTAATTTAAATGCGCAGCGCATAGAGCAATGGTAAATTACGACGGCTTACAAAAAGTGTACAATTATTCACAAATAATGTATAGTGGGATTTTCAAAACACCTTTTCATTTCAAATTCAATTGATTCATTTCATATTATGCAGTAGCGACAACGGCAAACACTTCGCCTTCGTGTATGCAAAGAATGGTCTTTGGTGTATGTGATCTGCCCAGATCTGTACACAGAGATCTGTATAATGTAGTCAGTCTGTCAGTACACTGTAAAAAACCATAGACCAAATACAAAAAACTAACGCAATCAACTGTGTTAGGTATCTTTCAACGTATATTATAGGAAACTATCCTAGATTATATACAGGAAAGTGCAGTACAAATATGATCGAATGTAGCGTTACTAGATGGCAGCTAAGTGGCCAAAAAACAATAGAATAAAATTTAAAAATCATACCATTGAATTTAAATTCAATGCTTCTTGTCGACTGTCGTGTGGTTATGCAAATCAAATTGCATTTTTTTTAAAGCACCCTCTGTGTTGTTTGGGGCCCACTTAAAGAGAGTATAATTATTTAAATATTTGTATAGAAAACTGCTGATGTAGTTACGCTATTCATTATTAGGTACCAGCACATTTTAACGAAAAAAACTTTGTCCTTTACTATGGGTACTTCTCTTTTCAGGCAATCCCAGCCTTAAATGGATATCTGAATTTATAAGATTACATTGCGAAAAATGTTGCAAATAAAATTGATCAGAAATCGCCGAAATTCCTGACCCTGTGTCAACTTCCATTGTGATTGATTTATTATTTACCTGTATGCACATTTTTATAGGCTGGTTATTTATCGAGGCAATCGTGAAAATGTTTAAATCATTTAAATCTAAATCCGACTCCTCTAATGAATCATTAACATATTTATGATAATTGCTATTCGCTCGTGATTTACCCTTACAAAATGAAGCGATGTGTCCCTTTTTTTGGCACAGATGGCACTGCGCATTACGAAAAAAACAACTATCGTCTACATGATTAGATTTACCACAGTGATTGCACCTGCTCCTTCGGTATCCACTGCGCTGACCCTTTTCTTTGGACTTTTCCTTGCACGCTACCCTTCTCCTCGTCGCCTGCAATTTATGAACCGCCGCTACTGACGAAGTTCCGGCGATCAAATGGGAGTTGGTCTCTGCTGCTTCCACCCCCACAGCAATTTCCTGTGCTTTTTGGAACGTGAGTGACTTCTCCACGAACAATCGCTGTCGGGTGGTTTCACTCTTGAGCCCGAAGACTAATTGGTCTCGCAGATTTTCCTCCAATTTTTCTCCAAATTTGCAATCTTTAGCTAATTTTTTTAAATTAGCCATGTACACTGCCACTGACTTCCCAACGTCCTGCTTGCGTTGGCGAAATTTATATCTTTCCGCTATTTCGGATGGTTGCGGCTGGAGATGGTTTTGCATCAGCTTGACTAGATCTTCAAACTTATTATCTTCTGGATTGGCGGGGTTGCACAAATCCACCATTAAGTCAAACGCTTCCCCTCTGATGACGGTAATTAATATTGGCGTATGCTTGCTAGCCTCAATTTCGTTCACCTTAAAATACTGTTTTAATCGCGCGATATATGACGACCAGTTTTTATCTTCGAATTTGTATTCTTGAATTCTACCGAGAAGCGCGGCCATTTTATTTTATTAGGTATATTTATTTGGATTTAATATTAATTTACTTTTAGGTATTTATCAAACGCGTTTACCTTAATATTTAATTTAGGATATTTAATTTACTTTAATCCTCGTCGCCACTGTTGTAACTTGGAGGAAATAAAACTCATCGGATTGCGCTCTATTTGCATACTGCCTTTATATTTCTATATTCAAGGATACCCACCTATGTACATGATAATGATAACGTATACAGGTACCTACCTACATTTATCACACTTTGGATGTCAAATCCTTTACAAATCACCCTTTACTACTTTATTCAACCTTATCCTAATTACCTATTCATATTTTAGTTAACAGGTATTTGAGTGCTATTTTATTCTACCTCCTTTAAGTATGTAGGTACACGGTCATTACAAAAAAAATTAAAATTAAACAAAATTCATTTTATGAACTGCTGGCCCTTTTACCTCCGAGAATTAGTAAATCTTATGGAGCGAATCCTACGGGAGCGGAATCACCGGGGGCGAATCTTCCAAAACGAATTTATCGGGGGGCGAACTTGTCGAGAGCGAATTTTCCGGGGCGAATCTTACGGAGGCAAATAGTCCGGGGGCGAATTTTCAGGGGCGAATTTACCGGGGCGAATTTTCGAGGGCGAATCATCCTACAATTCCAGAAGCATCGGCAATAGTGAAACGGGACTTCTACATAGACGACTTAATAACGGGGTCGTACAACCAAGAAATTGCGAAGGTCCTTCAACATCAGTTGGGTATTTGGTCTTAGAATTTCATGCTCTTTCCAAATTCAGAATAAAATATAGGATTTCTATTTAAAAAATTATCACTTATGTCAAATCTCGAATGACAAAAAACCATCATTAAGTGACAATTACAGCAAAATGTGGAAAAATGGACGTGTTCGAGGATTTTTTCGAAAACGTTTACCTCCTAAAGGATTTATTGCGATAGTTCTAAACTTTTACACTCGTACTGTAAAACTAAATAAGATAGTTTTGATTGGAAGCCATTTACAAAGAAATCGCCGAAGGGTTTAGTTCAAAGATTTTTAGATGGCGGTGAAAGAAATCTTTCAATAATAAAAAAATTATAAAGTATAATTCGATTAGCTTTTGAATTGCAAGTAGGTCGCTCACCTTTTACCTCGCCTTTTACATTTGGAATGATTGTCATTTACTGAAAGCGTTTTAGATCTAATCCATTTCGATTTTTTTTAAAACTATAGTTACCTAATCGAACACTCAAAATGTTAGCTAATTTAAAAATGTAGGTACCTATATATAAGCTGCCAAATTTAAAATTTTAAGTAGAGGAAGCCGAAAGGTAAGCACATTAGAACAGAATACATGCAATTTGGTTTCATTTCATGTAGCAAGAGGTTGCTATTTTGGACGGGAAATTTAGTGCTAACATAAATCGTATAAGTCACCATGCAAATGAGCCATGTAATCAATGGTGACGCTCAGAGCTGTTCCTATTGTAACATTCCACATGTGGTAATTTATTAAAGAAGAGTAGGTATTGAAAATGGCAGTTACAATTTTGGGAATGGACGATTTACATTTAGTTTGAAATCACTCGGTTGCACGATATTAGAGGATCTATTTAACTCAATTAAACAAGCCCTACGTATTGATTAAGAAGGGAAAACGCGAAAGTCTACGTTTCCAAAGGGTGTATGAACGCGGCACTTTCACTTCTATAGTCTTAAGACAATCATTCATGGATAACAATTTGTGTGGTCATTTTTTTAAACAGTAGTCTATGGTTCTTGCTTTGAAGATACATTCCAACAGACAATGTCTAAATGTGGCAAGAAGTAATTACATTTTGAGTCGACAGTCGTTACGTTCATTATAGTTACCTACTTGTTGAGCGTTGAATATAAATTTTATGTTAAAATATGTTCAAGTACAAGTTTTTTCACCTCACATTGTCTTACACTGACATTTCTGTTCGTAAAACCATAGAGGAAAAAACTTAGGCTTCATATACAAGAATACTTTTTGCTTCTGTGTGAAATCTTGATAACAATTTCGTCCGATTTAAAATATTTACAACTTGTGAGTAGTTGCATAGGAAGACGGTGTCCTCCATGTAAGGGGCAACCTTAACAAAAAAAAAGGACCTTTGCAATATCGTTGCTTGCGACCCTCCGTTACATTCCGAAATATAAATTTTTGTCTTTTTTCTCTGTTGTGTCCATTTTTTCCTTTCCTCTATTCTCCATTTCCGTCCCATCCTTCTTCCACGTCTTTCCCCCATCGCCCCCTCTCGCGCTTCTTCTTCTCTTACTTTTCCTTTTTAAAACCCGCCCCGTACTTTCCTGTTGCAACGGAAGTTGGACGCTAAAATGCTTCGGTTATTGTTTTTAGCGTACATATTTTCCTCAAAGTGAAAAATCGCTATTGGTTGCACTTTGTCGTCCGTCCGTTCGTCCGTCGGTCCGTTCGTTCGTTCGTCCGTCTGTTCGTTCGTCCGTGCGTCCGACACATACTCCTTCTACACCACTGAACCGATTTGGGCGATATGGGGCTCATTTGAAAGGGCTCGGTCCAAGGAGTCCGTGCATATCTTTTGGTTTTGCAAATTACAAAATGCCGTTATACTAATCCTCCGTAGTTTAAAGAATTTACCTTGTTTTTCAAAACAAACTATTTATAAATGGAAGATGTTAATAACCACTACCACAGACATAGTATATGTTGTCTGTGCCACTACCAAAGATTAATAACTACGTGGTGGGGTGGCAAATGTGATTCCGAGTCATAATATCTGTCTTCGTGAATCGGAAATGCCTTCTACTCTACAGCTGGCCCTGTACTGAAAATGGTAAATATCGGAAAGTAGACAGAACGTTGCTAACTCCTTGTTCGACAAAATGTACCTAACTCCCTAGCAAACTACCGCAGGTTCAAGTGCTGCGATTCAGGATTCTGCGTTATTGTAAGATAAGAATGAGAACATTCGACTAAAAATGAACTTCATATCTTCGCTCTCGTTAAGATTTTAAATAAATTTATCTTACCTTATTAGCTACTACTTAAAATACGGATGGCTATCGTAATGAATGTACAAAATTTTTTTAGCACATTTTTGCAAATTTATTTGTAAAAAGTAGCTTTTAAACGGGTGTACGTGCATCTACAAGGCCGTATAACTTGTCAACGTTAGGGACGGGGCTACATGATGTGGGGTTGGCGACTTTTGGACGTCATCCTCGAGCGTAGTTTACTAACGTGAAGGTTTTTCAGTTTTTTCCTAT